GCAATGACGATGGCATGATTCCATTCTTTCAACATGTTCCAGCAGAAATCCGTATGTGGATGACTTGGTTACGGATCCTTCTTTGGAGGATGTCGATAGGAATCTTCTGTAGGGTTTCGGCAGGAATCTTGTTTGAGGGTTGTTTGACCATGAACCCTGCATGTGGGGGCTTTCAATAGGAACCCTTCGTGTGGAAGGTTTCAATAGGAATCCTTCTATGGTGGGAGCCATTAGAACACGCCAACGCAACACCAAATCAGTGCCAACGCCATGCCATTCCAATGCCATGGCAATCCCAATCCAATCCCAATGAAATGCCTGGGGGAAATCGCGCATGGTCGGTTTCAAATGCATTTTTCCTATAGAGGGCTGCGAATGGGTTCAGTCTGAACCCTTCTTGTGGGATGCTTCAATCGGAGTCCTTCTTGCGTGGGGTTCGATGGGAATCGTTATGCGAAGGGGACTATTGGAACTCGCCAGCGCAATGCCAAGCCAGTGCCAACGCAATGCCAACTTAATGCCAAGGCGATCCCAACCCAATGCCAATGCAATGCCAACGCAATGCCAATGGGGGAAGGCATTTGCCATAGATTTCATTAGGAATCCTTGTGGAGGGCTTCGCATGGAATCCTTCTGTGTAGGGTTTCAATATATGAATGAACCCGTTTTGTGGATGGTTTCAATAGGAGTCATTTTGGCAAAGGGTTTCAATGTGAGTCCTTCCGCGGAGGGTTCCATGAGGACCCTCCAGCGCAATGCTTGCGACATACAAGCGCGATGCCAACGCACTGCCAAGCGCTATGCCAACGCAGTGGCGCTGCGATGCCGAACCGTGGTCACACCAATGCCAATGCAATGCCAAACGATGTATTGTTTTCGAAGCATCTCGATAGCAACAACATATATTCTGGGAGAAAGGAGGAGGAGGAGGAGGAGGAGGAGGAGGAGGTTCACTGCCCATAGAGGGGAGGAGTCAAGGGGGAAAGAAGGGAAAATCGGGTGGGGGTGCCCATCCGATGAGAATTGTTTGTTCCCAGCCTGAGGTTACATCCCTCAGGCAGGGCCCGCCGACAGGGCCCCCCCCCCCAAAAACATCACATGGCCTCAGGGTCGGGATCTCCCTTGGCCTTCCCGAGACAGCGCTAACGCACGAGCTGCCAGCTCACGCGCACCAACAGCTTCCACCTCCTCTCGGGAGCCCAACCCAAAGGCGAATAGCACAGCAGCAAGCTCCATACGAACAGGGGCCGACTGCTCAATGAAAGGGCGCACGCTCGGGCCAGCAGCTGTACCCCCACTACCAGCTGCCAAACCAATGTGGCTGGACCAGCCCTCGCGGGTGGCCCCGGGGGGGGACCTAACATCGGCGAAAAACGTGCCTGCTTTCGTGGGGTGCTCGCCCCTCTTGAGCCTTAAACGGGACGTGTATGCGGCCCCACCAGAGATCTTACGGGTCCATTTGCACGGCTCTTTGAGGCCACGCTGGTTCAGCTGGACCGCAAATTGCCAACAAGAGGAGCACAACAGGACCTGGTCTCCTTCAGAGACCTGGGCAGCTAAAACACTGTGCTCGTTAACCTTCCACGGACTAAGGTGGAGCAAGCCCCTGGACATGGCAGCCTCTCCAAGACCACTCGCCGACACCCCCTGGGACGAAGAGGCAACAACATCAGGAGGGAGGCTGGACACAGGAGCGCCCAGGGGCACGGTAGGGGCCACAGCGTCACAAAGATCGCCGGGGAGCTCTCCAAGGTCCACCGTCTTCAAATAATCGATGGACAAGTGGTCTCTCTTCTCGGTGTCTACAGCCATGGCCGTGCACCGCGCCACATACGTCGCCACTTGCCTCGCTACAGCTCTGAACCCCTCCAGGGCTCGGACGTCAGACTCGTCAGCTCTAGCTTGCAACGCCCCTTTTTTGGCAAACGCATCTGCCTGCGAATTCCCCAGGCGGTGCAACGGCGAGATTTTTCCCGCCTCCACATCCCCGGAGGTCGTGTGGCCCTTGACGTGAATGAAGGGGCGCTGTGTGAATTTTTTTCTCGAATGGACCCTGTTCCAGATATGTGCACGAGCATTGGACGGTGCCTGCGCCATGGCAGGCTTCATGCAGCACGCAAGGGTTCCTTTGCAATCACATAACACCGAAAACTGGCCCAACACCAACTCCGACACCTTCAGGACCGCAAAGTCTTCCCCGTCTCTGGCCTCCTGCCAGGGCGCGAAAAGCGGGGGCACTGCCCCATACATCTTTCCCAAATCCCGATCCGTCCACAAAGACGTATCCCTCTTCTAGCAGCACTGGCAGATCCACACCTTGGTAGCGGACCTCCCATTCCGCCTGAAAATCCCGGCGGCGGAAACATTGATTCTGCTCCGGGAAGATCGCTCTCGCAAACCGCTCTCTCCATTGGTGCGGCGCCGTGGCCATTCTTTTCTGCGCGCGCTCGACCAGGGACTCAAGATTGTCACGCCTCCAGAGGGCGTGGGCCTGGCAGCAAAACGCTCGGTGAAAGAAGGTACCGTGACCTCCTTCACAAAGCATGCAAACGTCAGGCAGAGACGGCTCGTGCTTATTCATAAGCAGCTGATTCCAATGGGATCCCACAATGAGACCTCGCAGCACGTTCTGATCGTGCTGCGTCCATCCTTCCGAGTGCTTGGCGAACAAGAGCTCCAGCGTGGGTCTCCAAAAAAGCCCCGAATCCCACGGCCCCCGTTTGTCCTGCAACAACAGCGCTCGCCTGTCGGACGCACGCCGGGCTGAGTGAGCCACGAGCTGAGACAAGAAACCTGGCGAATATAACATCAGGTCCCACTCCCCGCCCCAGTCGTCAACCGCAGCGGTCACGCCGCGAAAGCTCCATCCCACCCTTTTCATCGTAAGGACCAGGGCCATCACAGGATCTTTGGCCGAGATCCATGGACGAAGCTTCTGAGCATGCTGCATCGCCTGCGCAAGCAGCCCCTCCAGAACCGCTCGCGCGAGGTGCCCCTCCCACAGCACGGCAGCAAAGGTCTTCAAAGAATCAGCGCTAGGCAGCACGAGCGGATCCCGCCTCCAGCCCGACCGGCTGGACATGAGAGAGAGGCCCAGGGACGCTCCTCGAGGGAGCCTTCCTTGCGCCTTAGCTGCCTGGACCCTCAGCGTTGTGAGGCGCCCATCAGGGATTCCAGAGATACTCGACCCCCACATCGCCACCGCCGTCGGCCCCGATCTATGGGCAGCTCCAATCTGCGCGCCTCTAGCTTGTAGGATGCGCAGCCGCTTCCCTCGCCTGAGGGAGTCGTGATACCGACAGAGCTGAGACTCGCACCTACGAGCCGTGCCATCCACGGCATTTCCTCCGAGATCCCTGTGGACCACACCGCGATCCTCGGGTCCCAAGGCCCAATTCGGAGCCATGTCCCTGGCCAGCTGGCTCGACGAGGCCAAGTAGCCCGCCTTATGCCAAGAAATTGGGAGCCCCCTGGAGATCATCGACTGCGAAGCCAATTGAAACGCTCGAGGCAACTGCTGAGCAACCGTGGTGGGACCCCCAAGGGCTTGAAACGAAACATCGTCAATCACAATACGGATCGTGACTATCGGATTGGCCGCTGCTGCCTTGCGAAGAGTCACCAAAACCATAACTCTGGCCAGTGAGGTTGCACAAGAGCAGCCCGCTACTACTGTACCATTCGCATGCAGCGCCGGCGACGTGATTGACTAAAATACTGCGCGCCGCTCCGCACGGTAAATGCAGCACAACGATCGCAACAATTTCTCTGAGAAGCCTACTTCGCGAGCTGCCTCTCGGAGCTCAGCGTGGCCGATGTTCTCGTAGTATTTCCGGAGGTCGAGAAAAGCCGAGGCCATGGAGAGGCCCCTGAGTCTTGCATAAGACGCAAGGGCATTGTGGAGCCACGCACTCTTGTCGCACGCTGACGAGCTATCCTGGCCCCAGAACAATTTACAGCCGTGGGATTTCTCCCACCTGTCGCACTCCTGGAGGAGGAGGAGGAGGAGGAGGAGGAGGAGGAGGAGGAGGAGGGCGGGGGGGAAAGGAAGGAGGGAACAGAGCAGCGCGGAGGAGGAGAAGGATCCCCCCCCAAAAAATGGAGGCCGCGCCGGTTTTTTTTGGGGCGGGTGTGCAGGAGAATCAAACAGCTAGATTCTGGGGCAAGGAGGAGGAGGAGGAGCAGGATGAGGTGGGAGCGGAGCAGCGCGAAGGAGGAGGAGGAGCCCCCACCCCCCAACACAATAATAAGAACACAACAACAACTTAGGCCGCGCCCCGTTTTTTTCGGGGGGGGGGGGGGGGCAGGAGCAGCAAAAAGCTCGATTCTGGGGGAAGAAGGAGGAGGAGGAGGAACAGCAGGAAGAGGAGAAGGAGGAAGAGGAGGAAGAGGAGAGGAGGACGAGGAGGTATAGGAGAAGGGGAAAACAGAGGATGAGGGAAATGAGAAAGGGAAACCACCCTCCGAAAGGCGTGCGACTCCACAATCCCCCGTTCTCGAAGTTTAGGGGGTAGCTGCGGAAGGTTTGGAGCTTCAAGGGGCACGGGTTGCGGTGGGCTGAAGCCAGAGAGGGTCGAGAGTCAAGGTTCACCGACTTCATGTTGTTGTGTTATTCGTGCGGTGCCTATGCTCGGGTCTCCCACAAGAAACAGTGTCGAGGTTGACGGCAGGTCCAACAGGGGCCACTGCAAGCATGCGGAATTATTTTGGCAGGGTAGCTTCCCGAGGTATGGGCATGGCCGCGTTGTGAGAAACACGCCTCCGCCCGCTCAGCGTCCGTCAGGAGTGGTCCAAGGTCATGGCCCCCTCCGTTGCGGCCCCTGCCCCTCCTTCGGTCCAGGATCCTGCCGACGACCCCAGCGTAACGGGGTCGCTCCTCATTTTTCCTTACACATGAACGGGGTCGTCATTCGTAACAGCGTAAGTTTGTACCTCCGCCTCCTTCCCTCCTTTCTCCTTCTCATCTCCCCCTCCTCAACCTCCCCTTCTCCCCAAGCCAGGCGTTCCCCAGCGTGCCGGACACGCCGATGGTGCCCGCCACGACTGGGCGCGTCAAGGCGAGCGGCGGGCGGGGCAGGGCGACGCCTGCGATACAGGGCGACGCCTGCGATAGAGGGCTTCGCCCCGATGGATTGATGCGGTCGATTACTTCGCCAGATACGGCATGAGCATACATCTTCGAGGGTCCCGGCGAATGGGGTCCCGGGCGGAGGAGATGGCCCCCACGGTGGCAGAGACACGGAGGCCCGCGCCGCCGTGCTATAGTAAGAATTTGCCTTTTGCCATGCCGCCATGAGGCGAAGGGGTCTTGAGGGGTGGTGGAGGAGGAGAAGTCTGCGGAAGATCAGGCTCAACAGTGAACAGGAGGAGGCCGGCGTTGTCGAGGATGAGGAGATCGAGAATGAGGGCAAGAGAGGCCACGATAAGGCGAGGAGACGAACAGGAGTCGCGAAGAGCGCTTCCGATGTAGATCTCTGGGGACGTCCAACCTGAGGGAGGCAGATCCTGGAGTCAATTAACTTTGTGGGCGAGGGACTTGTCCTGGGGGGAGGCCCCAGGGGTCCAGGGATCCGTTTCCCGCAGGACCCGTTCTCTCTTGTTCGTTTCAGTATGTTGTTGAATTATGTTTTGGTAGGGGCTTTTCGCGCAGAACGCGCCAGATGGTTTACACATCATGCGTGATGGTTGAGCGATTGCTGGTTTCGGCCGATCGCTGCGCCCGAAGAGTCATGCCAACCTTTGAAGCCCGCAGGAGAAGAGGCGCAAGAAGGCCTACGGCACGTCCTTGCTGCCTGCGCTGATGCCCGCGGCCCACCCGCCCTCCCTCCGGCCGCGGCGGGCCGGTCCGCAGGAGCGCCCCCAGGAGGAGCAGAGGAGCAAGGCTCGAGAGGTATGGTCGGGGAGACGTAAGGCTCGAGTTCACTGGAACTCTGGTCTGCCGGCGTTTTGCGGAGCCCGTCCTGAATTTTGACGACCCATGCTTCGAGGGTTGTTTTGCAGTGGTATTTCGCGCCAATTGTTCAGAGTGGGTCTCGTCCTTTCCCTGACGGCCTCGCCTGGCCGACCCGAGTCCCCCCAACCCAAGTCGTACGTCTCCTGGATACGGGTAGCCCGTGAGTGCCCCACGCTCAAGACGTTGAAATAAAGACTAATGTGGAGTGAGGTAGGGATGCTTTCGAGGCGCGCACTTTGTCTTTCTCTGCCCACTGCTTATTCACTATCTCGCCCATTCCTCTGCCGACCAAGCAGGAAGAGCAGGTCCCGTTTGTTGTTCGGCACCGCATTAGGATCATGCGAGGACAGCACGTAGCTGGGACACGGTATTGCTTCAAGGGCGGTGGCCAATCCTTCATCTTGCCACACCTCCATCCCGTTATTCGAAGACCAGTTGACCGTGGTCCGATGGCGAGGAGGAGCAGGAGCGGCAGGGGAGGGCGGAGGGAGACAGGAGGCCGCGACGGCTGCTTCTGTTTGCTCTCTCGTCTCTCTCTCTCTCTCTCTCATCCACTTTTCTCCTGCCAGCATGCCCACGGGCAACCTTACCAGCGGCACTCCTTGGGTGCCGCGCGGAGCGGCGTACGCACCAAGTGGTGGCCGCGCTCGCACGCCTCCACGTGGACCCACGAGGACAGCTTGAGCAGTCGTCCGGCGATGGGCTCCCCATGATTCCGAATCACGGGGAACCCAAAGACGTTCGGAAAATAGGCAACGAGCGAGAGTCATTGTGGGCCTCCCGCACCTCGCGGGCCTTCGGCACTGCCGCTCTGCGGCCGACCAGGGCGGCAGCCTTCGCGAGGAGCGAGCACGGGAACACCGCCCCGTGCCCGAGGCCAGCCTCTCGGGCCGCTCCTCCCGGCGGCGGCGGCAGGCCGGCTGCAGTGGCGGCTGGGAGCGGCTTGCGCGCCGTCTGGTGCAAGGCACGCTCGTTCGCTCGCCACCGCCGGCCCCCTCCCGCCACGGCGGGGCGTCGAAAACATGGGCGCGCAGGCAGACAGGCAGACAGATCTGTGCCGGAGGAGGCGACGTCAGGCGACTCGTCCTGTAGTGTTTTTTGGTCTCGCCCTCCATGTACGGGCCCCTGGCTGGGGCGACGGACGCATTACTCCTGTCTCTTGGCAGTGTTGTTTTTTATGTGCGTCCTCGGGAGGTCCGACTACGTGGATGACCCAGACGCTCTTTTCAGGCCTTTGCGCTCAACTCTCTAGTAGCTCAGGCTTTCCCCAGCTAGGGGGCAACACTGCGCATGCATCTGTGGCCCCACAGGGATAAGCCCAGTGGAAGTTATAAATCTTCCTCCCGCCTGCTCCAGCCTTCAAGCAAAGGCGAGTCCAACATTACTGTTCAGGGATCCTGAAACCGGGGTAAATGGCTGGGCGGGTTGTGGGGAGGGGGAATGGCAAGCAGCACGGACAACAGCGGGAACACGAGCAGTTGGAGCCGCTGCCATTTACCTCGCTGACTGGAGCCCTGAACAAAACCCATACTCAACTTCGCTTTTAGCCGTTGGCTTCTCAACACAACTTGTTCTGCAGCTGTTCGGCGTGTAGGCGACAGTTGCTACTGTCGTCTCGCAGATCTGGGCCGCCAGGCGTGGGAGAGGGGCGCAGTTGGAGATGTGCATCATCGAAGGGTCCTGGCCAATCTGTCATCGCACAGGGAGCTCGCCATCTGACAGGGCCACTGGGCTCGTCCTTCTTCTCCATCCTTTGGGGCCCTGCCCCTCGGGGCCCTCCCCCACCACACGCCTGTCAGCTTTGTATGGCGCGGCCATTCTGGCCCTCCACCCCAGCTTGGCCGAACCCGAGGCCTGCTGCCAGGGTCCGCCTTGGAGATCCCTTGTCGCAGGGAACGCCTCCCTGATCAGGAAACTCCCGCTTCAGTTTTGCTTGCAAGCTAGCCCCAGCTCCTCCTATCCTGTGAAATGCTTTGACCACGCTCTGCCTGCTCTCCTCCTTCTCCTGTCACAGGGGCACCACCCACCAGGCTGGTCCCAGGGGCGCCTGCTTGGGAGAGGGCCGCCTTGCAATGGTTCGGTCTCGACGGGCAACTAGCCTGGCCTTAGCGCACTTTGCTCCCACTGCCAAATCGGTTCCGCAGGGCACGGCACAGCATTTAGCCTCATTCTGAGAACTTGGCATGGCACGGCACGCGGGCATTGCACGGCACCTCACATGACAAAAGTTATGCACGGCATGGGGGCACGGCACGGCATGCGGGCATCAATCTGCATTCTATCAGTTTTAGAATTTAAGGCACAGCAGAGTACGACACGTGTCCGCGGCACGCGTAAACGGCACAGCAGGGTACGTGGGCGGCATGTCTGTCGTTCTCTCGGTTCTAGCACGGCGCGGCGTTGGTTTCGCATTCTAGGAAACAGGCACGCCCGATGGGCGGCTATTCTTTCGCATTGTAGAACATCGGCGCAGCACGGCACGGCACACGGCTATTGCACGCGTGCATCGCACGCAGCGACGGCACGGCATGGCACGCAGCGGCAATGCTACCCATCCTGAATTGTAAGCACGGCACAGCACGGCAGGCGACCACACCACGGGACGGCAGGCGGGCGGCAATGTTGCCGCATTCTGGAACCTAGCCGCGGCGCGCGGGCACGGCACGGCACGGCCACGGGCCGCACCTTGGTCGCATGAATCTGGAAGCCAGACACGGCATGGCACGCGGGCACGGCACGGCACGGCATGGCACGCAGGTGTGGCACGGCGAAGCACGGCCACGGGCGGCGCTTCCTTCGTATCCTACAAGCGCGGCGTGACACGGCACGGCACGCGGGCACCTCACGGCACGCGAGCACGGCACGGCCACGGGCTTTTAGAATGTGGAGTTTTCTTTGGATAACAACAATGTTTGTACAGCATTTCTCGTTTAGAGAAACAGAAAAATCCGTCCTTGCCCTCCCTCCTCTACTCCCTCCCTCCTCCCCTGCCCCCCCCCTCCCCAGAGGACAAGCCAGCTGCCAACTTCAGGCCGACACGGGCAGAGGATTTCCTGGATCCCACGAAGCAGCGGAGCCTCTTGGAGCATTACATGCTGAAAGGTATGGCGTAGGCACCAGTGGCATCCGCGCTCTCCTCGTCCGCCTGTTTTTTCCTCATATTCCTTCTTATCCTCGACGTCATCATAGTCCCCTGCCTTCCCATCCTTCTCTTACCTTGCATTGCTCATGCGTTGATTGTGAGCCCATCGCGTCTGAATGCCTCTTCCGTTTATCATCGTCCGCGTCTCCGTCCTCCTCTCCGTCCCCGTCCTCTTTGTCCTTTTTCTTGAGTTGGTCCCAGTGCCCAGTCTTCGCACGTCGCTGCCTCATTATGTTCTTCATTCTGTCCCGCCCCCTTTCCCCACTCATCATCTTCCTTCCCTTCTCGTTCTCATCTTGGCTGGCACCTCCCCTAAAGAAGGGCCAACTTGGCAGCACTTGCGTGTCCCCGCTTTTGCCTGCCCGAACTGATGGGAGCAACCTCTGCCACCCACCTGTTCGTGCCTCCAGTCAGTCTGCCCTCCTGCATCCGAAATCCCATTCTGTCTCGCCTCCCGTCTCCCGATGCGTCTGAACCTCCCACCGCCTTGCGACAGTTCGTGGTCTCTTTATGGCGCGCTTCTCCCTCGCAACGCGGCGGTGCTGCAGGCACAGTACTGTAGTGTAGCGTCTCACCGTTTCACGCGGTCGTCCATCGGCTGCTTCGGCGAGGGGGGGAGTGCAGACGCAGTGCAGGAGGGGAAGGAGGGAGAAAAGGGGAGGGGGGGTTGGAGATGGTTGGAGTCTTTGGAGGGGACTGGGTGGAGGGAAGGGCGAGAGGTGGGGAGCGGGGAAGTTGAGATTTTTGTTGCTACTGAGGGAGGTGGGAGGTAGTCGCCCAGGATCCGCACTACCCCCTTGAAAATCGCCATGTGCCCCGCCGTAGCCCCAGAATGCATATATATATATATAGAGAGAGAGAGAGAGAGAGAGAGAGAGAGAGAGAGAGAGAGAGAGAGATTCCTCTTCCTATATTTTTATAAGCCCGGGCGGGGGGAAACCCATCACCCCCCCCCTAAAACCGGATTCCCGGGATCTGGGGCTTTGGGACCTTCCGGACGGGCCTCGGAGCGGCCCCCTGGCCTCGCAGGGCGTTTTGCCAAGCCTTCCCAGCACGCCCAGGGCGATCAGGGGGGTCATCGGAGACGTCTCAGAGACTCCTATGACAGCGCAAGAGCGCTCCGAGAGTGACCGACGTGACCTCAAGATGGCCCAAGAGGCCTCCATGACGGCCCCAAAGAGGCCTCCAAGAGCACTCCCAATGATTGATTTTCTGGTAGTTTTTGGTGAATTTTGGGGTTCTCCTCTTTTCGGCTTCGCGACGCTCCAAGACGGCGGTCTTTTGGGCGTCCGGAGCCACTTGGGAGGCTCCAAAATCGCCCCACAACCATCCGAAAGGGCTTCCAGGCAGTCCAACAGAGCCCCCAAACGGTACAACACGGGTCCAAGATGGCCCTCAGAGAGCCCCATGGCGGCCCAAGATGGCCCATTCCAAATCTTGACCTGGTCGTTCAGGGATACCGTGGTTGGAGGCAGGGTGGCCCGAGGAAGCCTCCAGAGGCCCCCAGAATACGCCCAGGAGACCTCCAGAAGGCCTTCAGAAAGCTTGAAACAATTGTTTTAAGGCCCCCAGAGGCTCTCCCAGGAGGAGCCCCCGCAAAAAAAAATTGAGGAGGACAGGGAGAATGCGCAGGGTATGGCGAACATGAGGAACAAAAAGCATGGAGGAAGGATAACGCATATCATTATCATAGCGGCGATGCTGGAAAAGGCAACAAGGAGTTATCGCTAAAATTGTCGGTTTGATATTCCTGCTATTCCGCCTGCAAACCGCCTGCAAACTAAACTTCAAGGACCAGGGTGCATGGCGCGAAACACCACTGCAGTCTTGTATATATATATATATATATATTCCGTAGCCATTTTGGCTCAAGTCGCCACCGCGCCTCGAGGTCGGCGATAGCGCCCGATTGCGGCACCAGACGATCCCTGCCTCCAGACTGTTTCAAGGCCGAGGCAGGATTAACTTTCCTCATACCACGCTGCTGCCGCGACCTGCTGGTCTCTTTGGTGTACTCACGAACAGACTCCGTTTCAGTCCTGCGGGGTCTATGCCTGCTGAAGGCCGCGATGGCACTGACGGCGGGCGGAGGTCTCTCGCGCGCAAACCTCCCAGCCCTGCTGGCAGTGGTGCTGCTGGCGCTGGCCGATGGCGTGATCGTGGCACCCAAGATGCTGCACCTGCTGCCCGTGCTGGCTCGCGTAGCCCTCATCTTCGCCGTGATATTTTGCAGACTGAAGACCCATGGGCGGCCACTCAAGCACAAGCTCAAGTTGAGGTCGCTGCAGGCACTGCTACCCCTGGTACTCCTCTTCTTCCTGGGTCTAGGCCTCCTAAGGAGGAAAACAAAGACGAATTCACGGCTGCTTACCCCGACGACGGCTGCGACGATGTGGACGACCGCCCCTCCTTCGACCCCTCGCAGGCCGATCGACCTGTCAAGTGCGGTGAGCTCGAGAACGCGTTGGCCGACATGCGCAAGTACATCGTCAAGACAGTCCAGCACTCCCGAGCCAAGCTCGCCTCGGACTTGTCGAAGGTCACGTCGAAGGCCGTCACCGCGGCGGTGCGCAAGCAAGAGTTCAAAATCGAGGAGATCGATATGCACTGGCGCGACCTCGACCGTGGTGTTGCCAAAGTTGAAAGTGATCAGAAGCAGATGCGCGAGCAGCTCGAAGACATACGGAAACGGCGTCACACCATGGAGACCCAAGCCCCCAAAGCCTTCGACATATCCGACGCGGTCAACTTCACCCGGCCTGCCAACAAGACGATCTTCGTTGCCAACGCTAAAGCAATGGTTACCTTGGACGAAGTCACCCTGTCCGTCAAGCCGTGGATCGAAGCAGCTGGGTTTTCTAACGCGCAGTGGAAGGTCGAAGGTAACTCTCCTGGCAAGCGATTCCATGTTCAATTTCAAGGATCTGAAGTCATGGCAGCACGTCACGTCGTCCACGCATTTCGGCATCTCAAGCATTATGATGGAAGCTGGCGAAAATTCGATTGTTCTATGGTGGCTGGAGGTCGCACTACTCTGCATGTGGGGCTCGACAAAAACCCACAGCAAATCCGGCGCGAGGTTCAGACAAAGAAGCTCGCAGACATCGCGACCAAGCTCAACGCCTGTGTCCGTGCCAACAGGTATCAAGGGATCGTCGCGCTCGGCAACGCCCCACTCGTCAGGCTGGTGGTCGCTAAAAAGTCCGAGGAGCCTACGTCTCTTGAATGGAATTACCGTGCTGTTACTGATGACCGTGTTCCTAAAGACGTCATCAAAGCAGAGTTCGACACCGTGTGCGGGCCTTCCGAGAAAGTCATGCGGTCTATTTAGCACGTACTTCGCCCCTTGGCTCCCGAAGCACAAACAGACAGCAGCAACAAGTTTCGGCACCTGGAATGCCAGAGCTCTCATTCATCACGACGACGGGGTTCGGGTTCGAAAAATGAAAATCTTTGGGCAATACTTGGCGAGAGGAACGACGATGGCGATTCAGGAGGTGCACACCAATGATATTCAACTTCGACAGGAGCTGCATCGTCTTAATATTTCACACAAGGTGTTCACATCTTTCGGAGAGAAGCGTGACGCTGGCGGCGTCGCAATCGCCATCCCCTGCGCTCATGACGCCGACGAGCATGCTCGGTTCATTCTTGATATCATCGTTCCTGGCCGTGCGCAGCGTTTACGTATCTCTGCTATTCCATCGTCGCCGTCGGAAGCGAGCAACCGTATCACGTGCTATAACGTGCGCAACTTCGGTCTCTCGAGCACTGACATGGACGCGATCGATCGTCTCATTTCCAGAGATTTAGCACTTGCCGCGTCTGCCCCTGGTCGCATCAAAGTCGCGTTGCTCGGTGATTTCAATATCTACAAGAGTCAGCCCCTTCACCTACGCGCCCCTGCGCTGAATGCTCGGCTCGCTGCTGATTCTGCGCCGCGGCCGCTTTCTCGCCAATGGAATGACACCTTTGCCAAGTTCACTGAATTGGATAACGAGTTACCGACGCATTTTACCTCGCAAGATCACGTACCGCGACGGACACATATCGACCGCATTTTCGTGGCTATGCCCCCGCGGGTCACACTGCAATGGCAACTGGATATTGCAACCGGCTTATGCCCTGAGCGCCTTCATGAGACGGGTATTTATGACCGCGCCCCTGTGATAGTCACAGCTCGGCCTCGACGCGCAACTCCCGCGGAGCAGCAAGCTATTCCTCAATGCATCTTCGACGACCCTGAGTTCGCGTTGGTGTATGATAAGTTCCGCGAGGCTGTGCCATGGGATCGTCTCTTTACCTATCAACGCCGAGCTGAGCACAAGAGATTAATGCGCGAAGCTGCCCGTCATGTTCGTAATCGACTCATCAAGCTTGGTGAAACGTCGGTGGATGCACAGCTGGTCGTCTTCCGTTCCATCTCTCGGGCTGTCTGGCGCAACGATATTCGATTGGCTCGGAAGCTTCTGGCGTCCAGCCCGATCGCCCTCAGGCACCTCTCCATCACCGGCTTACAGGTGCAGCTACAGGACGCCAGCGAGTTTGACGCCGACTTCCTGATGGCACAGTGCTTATGCTGACCAGCGTGAGCGGCTTTTGGACGAACGGCAGCGACGGAAACCACCCGACGGCAACTCGTTCAAAATGATCAGCGGGATGCGCAAAGCTCTTCGACGTCGCGCTGCACTGTGGTCGCCATTCAAGAAGACGTTGCAGCTCCAAGGCCCCGAGCTCCCTGACGAAGAGCATGGGCTTCGAGTGGTGGATGCGCGCCAAGATGTTCAAGCTGAGCTTCACCGTCATTGGTCGCCTATATTTCAGCACAGGGAAATCCCGATCGACATCGCGAACAAATGCCTGGACATATATAATGTTTTCATGGATTTCAGCAACGTTTCGATTCCTGATGATCGTCAACTAGCCCGTGCTGCTGGTGCTGCTCGTGTCTCTGCGGCTGGACCTGATGGCATACCGCGCGCGGCTTGGGTGAAGTCACCTCGTGCACTCCGAGACTTCGCTGATGTAGCTCGTGTCATTTCCATGGGCCCCCCCCCCCCCCCCCCCCGCACGACTGGAATGATCACCTGATGGTCTTGCCTAAGGGAAAGGAAGATGGAGACTTGCAGACAGGTCCGTACCGTGAAGCGGCTCGCACTAGAGCTCTTGCGTTGAAAAATGCGGATAACAAGATCGCGGCGGCCGCAGTTAACCATTCGATCAAGCGTGAGCTCGCTGCAAAGAGCCCAGCTTCCCAGCGTGGATTTCTGATGGGCAGAAACTTTCTAAATAATATTACCTTGCTCGACACCGTTGGCCGCGCTGCGGGATTTCAAGACCATCGTGAGATTAGGCAATGGCTGGCGACGCACATCCCATCGTGGATTTCCCGTTCAGCACCGACGCCGAATGCGAGATGAAGGCCTGGCTGGCGACTCACATCCCATCGTGGCGCAACATGACGGTTGCCGATAGAGCTGAATACCTCGGCGCACTTCTTGGCCCAGCCGTCACCCTGAATGACATCTGGAAAGCTGCTGGTGGCAAGTGGCTCTTTCGTGTGCTTGAGCTGGCCGGTGCTAACTGCCCTGTCCATATATCCACGCGCTTGCACAACAGACGTGTTCTGCC